GGCATTCCTTATAAAGAGTAGTTGTTGTTAGATATCAATGCCTTAATTTCTGCCTATAGACAGAAATTTTTACGGCTGCTGGTCTAGTGACTACCAGATAGGAGTAGTACCAGTGCCAGTTTCACTGAGATACTCTGGGACCCAGGAGCTTTTGAGATTTCTTTGTTGGCAAACACTGGGGAATCAGGATACCTAAAAATACATAGTTTGTAGCCCAAAAGTCCACCGATAAATGAGTTTCTTTTGAAACTTCAAAATATTCCCTCCTTCCCCAGACATCAAAACTTGAAGTATTTATTTCTTCTTCAGGGCATGAGCCCTGTGATCAGCGAGCTGAGTGAGAGTTTCTTCACTAGAAGACAATACCAAAATAATCAACTCACAATAAAATCAAGCTAATTTGACACTGCACCTTCAAAGTGTCCTTGGAAAATAACTTTCAGAACTGCAATTCTCTGGGAATGTTCCTCTGAGAGGGACCCAAGTGCTTCCCAGTTCTTGCACAGAGCCTAGCATTCAGGTGCTGTAGTCTCAGTTACTATTTTGGAGCAAAATTCTCACAAAAGTCCATTGAGATAGTTTTAAAAATTGAATATACTTTACATTTGAAAATGTTAAGGCTATTAGTTAAGGCTTCTAAGTCACACTGACACTATCATTGCTGTTAATATCAAGTCCATTTAGTTGTTGCCTTGGAGCTCTTTACAATACAAGCCAGCTTAGTTAATGAGTGCAGTTCTGTGTTATTAGTTACCCAAAATCAGCTGTAAAAGCTGTTGGCTTTTATTTCTGAAATGGAACTGTTCTCATCTCCAATGACGGGAACAAAGACTCAGCCTGTCAATTCTCTTCCTGCCAGCTGATGCCAGGGTCAGAGAAGTAGGTCACACCTTTCTGGTTTTGAGATGGAGCAATACTCGTTTTAGACCAATTTGCTCTGAGCATGGAGCTCATCTGCTGGGTTGAACCAGGGCATTGTCGCTTTCTCAAGTGCATTGTTCTGCTCTCCCTCTAATTATCTCCAAATGTTTCTTATGCCTGGAACACAGTGGTAGTGATGAATAATAGGCTCTCTTCTTTTAACCCTTCGACCCGTAATTTGGCTGTCCACTCCCACCTAGATGCTTTCACTTTCCTGCCTCTACCTGTGCTAGTCTGACACCTGCCTGTATCAGACTTGCTGCCCCATAACCTCCTCTTTCCTGTTCTGCAAATGGAGTAGGAAGTGCAGGAGCATGGTCTTAGTTCCAGCATTTACTGTTGAGATCACGGTGTTTCCTTTACATGTGTGAATGTGAATAAAAGTGCATCCTGTATGCCCTTGGCTCTGGGAAGAGGGAGAGCCACAGTCACTCCAGACCTCCTGCTTTGGGGATGACCTGCCCAGGAAAGTGGTTTAAACTGCTGATTTGTAGAGCTGCTCTAGGTACATGCCAGAAGAAGAAAGGTGTTGCAAGCTTATCCTAAGAAATGGGGTTTAATTGCTGATCACTTTGGGTAAACAGTAATGCCTCTCAGATGTGGTGTCCTTATCAAGGGTAGGCTGCAGATATTAGACAGGTCACATGTGAACAGGCACATGAGAATTGAAGACTGAAGAAAGCAGGGGTGACACATATGAGTTTGTGCAGGTGACTGAGGTTAGTGGGAGGAAGGAGAGGAAGAGACTTGCTGCAGACAAGTCACGGGGGCAACACTTGGAGGAACTTGGACCAGTTGTAGCCTGTCCTACAAAATAGTGCATTGTCCAAATATATTACCATCCTTTACACTTCAAATCCTCTTGCTTTAATTTGGTGGGATTTCTTTTTTTCCGATTTAGAAAACTGAGCGGTCGGCCCAGCATGTGGAGCTATGGCAGGCAGGCAGACCTTCGGAGGCCTGGCAGGTGTAGTGCCCTGGGTCAGCACTCCCATTTTGGCACAGCTGGCCATTGTCCTCTGCCTGGTATGGTGTGCCACGTCTATGCTGTCTCCCAGCATGTTCCCTCAACTTGCTGGCAACACCTTTCAGCCTTGAAAAAAACACTCAGAAGCCTCTGCAAGCCCTTCCTACACAGAGGAGTGTGAGCACTGAGGGCTGTGAGCTTCTGCTCTCTACCTGCCCCAGTCCTGCACCTCCGCATGCTGCTTCCAAGAGAAATGCCCCCAAGTTATTGCAAAGGCCAATGTGCTGTCATCACATTCTGTTTGTTTTTATAACTGTCCAGTCCTGTAAAGCACTTGGTGGCATTTGGTGTAGGTTGGAAGCAGATTACAGCTGCAATAGCACTGTTCCATGTCTCTGGTTGGAAAGGCTGAGCTTTTTTTTATGTTGGTGTTGTCTGTCCTGAAGCTCACAAGGGCTGGGCTGAGACTGGGGGTGTTTCAGTGGTATGATGCTTTTGGATGCTTGAATCACAGGTCTCTGGCTGTCTGAGCAACATGCAACTCCCAGGGAGCTGTATCCACTATAAATTCCTTTCCTTTCACCAAAGATCTCTGTGGGTTGGAACTGGGAAGAGAAAGGGTAGGCATTGCAGACATTACTTTCTGTGCTACATGACCTTTGTGTGACTAACATCTCTGGAGGCTCAGAACACTGAAACTGGCCCACACCTCTTTGTCACTCTCACGTATTAGTTCTTGCCAAAGTCTCTTCTCAGCTGTTACCACAGCCCAGGAATGAATGCTTCAGCTGGGGTACAGAATGGCCTGTGTTGTCCCTGGACAGCTTGGTGTAGAGAACAGTTTATTTAAGCTCATGTTCTTTTTCTTTGTAGAGACAGGTAATGACTGGGCAACAGAAGCTGCCCCATTAGCTGAAGGCCACCTTTGCTCCTTGTGTGACAGAGTCCTTGGAGCTGCTGTCAGTGTTGTGTTGACACAGTCTGTGAAGTGAGTTTGCAAAGGTGGGAGTCAGGCCCTACAGCTGAAACACAATTCTCTGCAACAAGAACCTTGATATTTGTAGGCTGTAATTACATGAAGAGACCATGCTGCTAATCTCGTCTCACCTTCTGCCTCATTCAGATGAGATCTGTACCTGTAATGTCTGCATCAAGGCTAATAATTCACTGTTAAGCTACAGCACATATTTCAGGAAGACAGCAAATCTTGTTTTAAGAGCTCCAAGGGTGGAGAATAAAACTCTCCCCTACATGATTTGTTCAACTGATAAACTAATGGCGTTATTGCAAATTTTAATTTTTAAAAGTTTGTATTATTTCCAGTTTGATTTTGTCTATCTTTTATTTTGAGCTTCTGTATCTAGTTATAGTTTTGTTTGCTAGATTCATGAAGTCCTTTAGGATCTCTGACAGTCTCCCACTGAGAAACGTTAGTAGATTTAGATCAAATCACCTCCAAACCTTCCCTTCAGTAAGCCAAATAGATCAGGCTGCTGAAGTCTTTCCATCTCCCTTTCTTGCTCTCTACAACATCTGGAATTGAATGATGTGTTAGGTTGGATCAATCATCTGCTCAGAGCGGCATCTGACCACCTATTTGATGATGCTTAAATGCATCCTGCTGAAAGTACTTCTTTTACTTGTGGCTGTTTTCTAGACCAAAACCATCTGCGAATATTTTCCACTGACTAACTCGACAAACCCAAGCCCGGAGCCGAGGGCAGGCGGTACCTGCTGCTGCTCCGGGGGCTGCGGGAGAGGTGCGGCGCCATCGGGGCCGGGACCGGGGAGCACCGGGCAGCTGCGGCTCCTGCCTCGGGAAACACAACTTGACCATTTTTTTACCGGTTCCTCGCAATCGACTTCTTGCCTCCAGCTTTTTGTCGCTTGTTTGCTATTGCCCTCTAGTGGAAATAGGATGGCCAGTGGCTTGGCTTCCCAAGCTCTGTTTTCTCCTGGTTTTCCACTGTTTATTACTCTGGGACAATCGTCTTGGTGATACGACAGATTTCAGTAGTATTATTTGCCTGGATTTTAACATTCAGCTTCATTACTCAGAGTTTTATGCTATGCAGGAAACAAAGATTTGCTCTCTACGATTGATAACTAATGTCCTGCCATGTCTGAGAGTAGAACAGACTTTCCTGTTCATTGAAATGTTTTGGCAAGAGAAACTGCAGAAGATGTTGCCATTTTAGGCTTAGAATAATTCAGTCCTGCAGTCAGAACTCTGAAGTGAACTCTGTATGTGCTGCCAGCACCTGACAGCCTGGTACATGGAGTTATCTTCTCTTGAAGCAGAAATACTGCCTTTTTACTATTGGTATTTCTATCTAAAGTCTTTGCTTTTATTATAAAGAATAAACTATTTAAAGCACACTCTTTCCAATCAATCATTTCCCTTTGTCAGACAAGCCAAATCATTTATTGAATGATCTTGGCTAATCAAAGTCTGCCTTCTTATAGAGATCGTAGAAGATGGTTTATTAATGAGACCTAGATTTTTTTTTCCCCTGGTTGTAATGCAGGGAGATCTTAATAAGCAATGAATTGCTGTGTCTGCAATGACTTTTGAGAGGCTTAAAAGGAAAACAATAATACTATGACTAATATGATTGCTCTCCCCACACTGCCATCCGGTGGATGCAAAATTCATTTCCTTTTGTAAATGGGAAGGGAAATTCTCCTACTGATATCACAGCTTGCAAACTTGCACCAGGCAGACTCTCACTTGTAACGCAATTTCCAGACCAGTGAGGAAAATGTTGGCTATTCTTTTAGTGGTTTCATATTAGAAAAAGAAGATTTCCAGTCTCTCATCTACAAAAAACATCCTCTACCTTGGAATGGAAACCTGTCTGGATCTCAAAAAAGGACTCTGAAAGCTTCCCAGACTCTCTGCTCTCAGTATCTGGCATGGAGAGCCCAAGCCACTGAGCACTGCTACTTTGGCTGCTTTTGGAAAATGAGGGTTGAGCTCCAAGGTTGATTTTCAGATAATCGGTGTATGGGCTAGCAACAACAGAGCCTAGGGCCTAGCACTGCATTTTTGGGTTTTGGGGGAGAGGCATGGGAATGGGGGTTAACCCTGTGCATTTCCCCCCTAGGACTGATGACTGAAATAATTAAAAGAAGCATGTTGTGGTGCTCACAGCCTCCTACCTGCTGGTCTGCAAATGGGACCTCACCACACTGAGCTCCTTCCCAGCGCAGCAAATCTCACTGACCACCATCGACTGTGTTGGCCACTTCACCATTCCAGGGGAATCCAGAGAAGTGAGTACTGGGAGTCCCTCAGCTGAGTGCACAGTTGTTGGGGCTCTGTCATCTTTCTCCACTTCTGGACTCTAAATGACTTAATCCAACAGCTGTAGCAATAGGATTTCCTGTGCCTCTCTGCAGGAGGGCTGTGGAAGTGGAGCAGAACAGCCAACTTGAGAGAACTGAGCTGACAGGACCAACTCTGGCATTTTGGCTGCTGCAGGTGGGCCAAGCAATCACCAGGAAGTGGCATCCATCCTCTGAAGATAACATGACCCATGCTGGGTATGGTGCCAGCCCTTATCTGGAAGCCTTGGCTTTTTTTTTTCAGGGCACACTAGCTCCAGAGGGACTCTGCAGTGGGCTATTTGGGGCCATCATGGTCCCAGTCTGGAGGTGGGAAGTCCTGCCGCCTCACGGTGTTGCCAGCATGTTCCAGTTCTGAGTCATTCCCTCGCCTGTTTGTTTTTGGTATTTATTTATTTACCACTGAGGTGTCAGCCCAGAGTAGGCTGACTGTGCCAAACTCCTTCGGTGGCCTGGTGGCTGCTGCCAGCTCTGTCAATGTCCTGCAGTGTTGGGCGTGTTTCACCCTAAGCTGAGGGGGAGAGAGATCGGGTTCCTGCGAGAGCAATGCCACCACAAGCTCCCATCAAAAGCGTACCTGGCTCTAGGTAATGAGGGCAGTAGCACAGGGTAAACTACTTTTACCCTCCCCACAGAGTCCCCGGCTCCCAGATCCTTTCCCTGAGCCGGCTGGAGGGGTGGAAAGAGGTTAAGAAGCATATCCTTTGCTGTAATTATATCCTGTTGCTAGAGATATTGTGCTCTGCTTAAAGAAATCATCATAATACAGCCTCCCAGAGAAGGTAATTACTGTGCATCTTATGAATGGCTACATGTGAATGTCTGCTCAAGCTGCTGTCAGCAGCAAGTTTCAGCACATCTTACATACCAGGCATTTTACAGCCTTCGTTTTATTTGTTTTCATCGCCCCTTGCCTTGTGCTTTATTTTTCATTAATGGATCTGGAGTGGGGTTTTTTTTGTTTGTATTGGTTTTCTTTTTCTCTTTTATTTTTTTTTTTTTTTTTTTTTTTTAAGAGGCCAGAGTTCATGTCTTTGATGGAGCATTTGAGTGGTGGCCACAGATTTTACTTGGTGCATTTCCATTGCTTTGTGGTGGCTTGAGGGGGCCTGTCTGGAAGATATTGTTTCCGAGCTGTTCCCACACGGTAGCATCTGAGTGGGCCCTAGTTTCCTAGTCTGATCCCAGATAAAATGGACCATACCACTGTTGACAAAATTTGGTGTTGCTACCTCTAGCTCAACAGCACGGATTTAAGTCCATGAGACAACTTATTTTTGCTGTTCTACTTTCTGAGTTTCTCTCCCATATTGAAAAAGAGTTGGTCAGGGTCGTCAGACCTTTCAGCTTTCTGAAACCAGTGACCTCCCTGCCTTGGTTAGCAGTCAATATACATGTCACTGTGAGGTGGCTGGAGTTTTGGAGAATCACAGCCTGGTAATTCTGCACACAGAGGTTACTATGTAACTGTCTTCAGAGCCTTATCCCTTGATGTTGCAGGGACATTTGAGCCAAAGAGATGGGGAATTGCCAAAGATCCCTGGCTTGTCACAGTAGGAGTGATCCAGCCACTCTTCCTTTCTCAAAGGTCCCTCGTGCTTGCCTTTCCCCAGCAGTATGTGTGGTAATCTGGCCTTGTGCTGTGCATGTAGGGCCACTGTGACACCCTGCATGGCTGTAAAAACATCATGTCCATCTCATGGCCAGCTTAAGGAAGGATTTGAAACTATTCCTTGGATTGCTTCTTTGTGCAAATGGCTGGGGCTCACTCTTGCAGTGCTGAAGCTGAATTGTCTTAGTACCCTCAATGATTTATCGTGTTTGTGGCCAGGCTTCTGTGCATGCTGAGCATCTGCTTTCTTGCATCCAGAGGTGGCTTCATCCTAGTGCTGTGTCCATCTCTCCCTGTGATTCTTAGTAAAGCCTGAAAAGCAGCCTACCTCCTGGAGAGTGGAAGGTGCTATAATAAATGCGAGCTCATAATGTTATTGTTAAAAATAACTGGAGCTAAATTATAAAGAAAAAAATCATCTTGTTCAGTCCTAGCCCAAGGGGGAAATGGACATGAGGAATTGGGCAATCCCTCTGTAAGTTCTCTTTCTTTAGACTATATTTAAACCACGCAGAGAGCCAGATTCTCAGCTGGTGTCAATTGTTGTTGACTTCAGTGGAGTGAGGCTGGTTTACACAAGTTGAGGCTGCTAAATGCCAGCATCTGGATGAAGCTGAGACACAGCTGGAATTACTTTTGCAGAAACCTCTAATCTGATGCTGGTTCAAAAGATCTGAGCCCTCCTGAGTGCTTTGATTTAGCAGATCTTTTGGGACGTGAAGGGTTATGAAAGGACCTTTACTCAGGTCAAAATTTGCTCTGATCTCAACTGGGTTCTGCATCTCTTGTGTCTGTCATTGTGCTTTAGCTGGACTCCTCTGAAAAGCTCTGCAAAACCTTTTTTACTTGCTACTTCACCAGCATCATCTCCTGTCTAGACACTTTAATTATGAGAACCAGGGAGCGTACAGCATGATGTGTAGATAAACCTGGGTAACTCCAAGGCAACCATGTGCTGCTTCCATCCCTCCCCTGACTGCCTCTAAACTAGTTTTGCCAATTTGTTGTCTGTTCCAGCATGAACATTAGCAAAATGGGGACTGCACAGTGCCACCTGGGCAATATTCATTTGAACTTTGCCTTCAGAAGCAAGTGTTCCAAACCGTAGAAATGGAGAGGCAAACCTCAAATTGCAGTGGGATCTAGCAATAGTACATTTAGCCTTCCCGACTTCTGTTTTTCTCTATGCCCAAAAACTATCTGGATTAAATAAACAACCTCCCCCACCACTACTGTCAGCAGAATGTATTAAATCTGTAAGCTGATTTCAGTATTTTTTTGTGTACTCGTTGTATCCACTCTAATTCTGTTCTTATCCATGGACTTGCTTTTTATTTACTTCAGCACAAACTGTATCCAAACTTGAGCTCTATCTATTTCAGCTATGTCCTTTACATAAGAGCTTTTAAAGCTACTGATTTAATAGGAGGCCATCAAATAATCAATAGGTCTAAAACATTGGAATGCATTTGCTTGATTCAGTTGCTCTCCACAGTATGCCACCTCCAGGACTGTGTAATGAGAGGAAAAAAAATTTTTTTTCTATTACCCTTCTTTAATTTGTCATCTTCCCCAATCTCTTGCTATAGCTGGTACCAAAGAGAATTGTCTGTGATACTTAGCAAGGCCCCTGGGATTCAGACTGTTTCCCAAGTCTCTGCACTCACCTTGGGGTGCTGTGCAGATTTCCATGGGTCTCTGCAGGAGCTGGGTCATCTGAGAGTAATCTGCTGTATTTTGATTCCAAATCAATGTGCTTTGAAGTGATTATAGGGAGGGATTTTTCAGTTCGACTTTTTTTGTTTTCTTGGTAGCAGCTTTTGAAAGGCAGAGTACTGATCCATGGGGAAGTGCCACCAAGCAGCTGCTTCTGCTCCAAGGGAGGCACCTTTTGCACTCCTGGTAGTGACATGGGTGAGGGAGTGCTCTGGGACATGCATTTTGGTTGCAACTCTTTATAGTCTGGATCAAAAAGCACCTTTATAGGTCCTAGTAGTTGAAACATGCCATGAGCATGGATGACTTGAAAGAAGGTGATACTAGAGGCAGTTAATGGGTGACTGGATGAATCTGCCAGCTTTGGGCTCTGGAAGGAGCTGCTGAGTTCAAGTTGCATAGTGCTGCCTCTTTGGGAAAATTGCACAGGTTTAATTAGAATTTGTTTCTCAACTGATGGAAAAGTCTATCTGAGTACTCTTTCTTCAGTGTAAGCTTGGGGTTTCATCTGAATTCACCTAGGACACATTGACACCTAGGACACTATAAAAAGAGCTGAGTTTGGTGGCTTATGTACTGAAAGAGTGGACCTCTAGTCCTGAGCCCCTGAAATCAAACTCCAGGTGGGACTTCTAGTCTAAGTGGGGATGTCCTCAGCCTGCACCTAGCCAAATTGGAGACTCCAGCTGGAGATGTGGTTCTAGGACACTTCCCAAAGGAGATTCAGGAAACAAAACCAGGCCAGTTCAAACCTTGTATGGAAGTGGGAGCCCATCTTTCCCTCCCCAGCCCTCAAATCACTCTCTCAGGTTGGTGATTTGCTTTGGCTGAGGATCAGTTTTAGATTGGGTTGTTGGACACTTGTTCATATCCCAGAATTCAATGCATGCACATGAGCCCAAGGAAAAAGGAAGCTCCATGTAAAGAAAGCACAGTTCTTTCCCTTCTTTTTTTACCATCACTGCATCATCATGTTACTGTGGATGGGTGCATGGACATTGAGTTAGTATGGCTTCCTGCACCCGATGCAGCTCTCAACCAGCCCATAACCAGTTCTCCCATGCACCCAACCAACAGAGCCACATCATCCCTTCTCTCTATATTGACCTTCTGTTGGATGATCTTTAGAATGGATGGTCTTTGCTACCTTTTGCATCGGACTGCCAGCTAAACCTGCAGCGACAGCAGGAAGCTGGTTCTTGTAGTAGGTTTGTACTTCCTACACTGTTTTGAAGGTGAGGGTGCCAGGCAGGGTGTGCGTTGAAGGTCCCACTATGGTTATTTTACTTCTGTCTTTGCTGGAGGATGTTTCCACAGAATGTACTATGGCAGGCTTTGAACCAATTTGTTGTTCCTTTGTTTATGACAAAATTAGTTGACTTGTTTGATGTAAACTATCCATGAGGTTGTTTACATTGGCACAGGGATCCATGTGCTTTCTGAGATGCAAGGAATTTAGCTACCGGGAGCTTGTTTAGTTTAGTTTGTTCCATTTGCAAAACAGATGGTGGTGGGGAAAATGTGTGTGGGGGGAGGCTTTAGGACAGGATTTTCTTAATGTTTGCTGCTTCTGTAGTTTCCTTTGTTGTTTGCTGGCTGAAGCAGGGTGAGTTTTCATCACAGAGAGAAGAAAGACAACACATAAGAACTGATATGCATTTTGCATGAAGGGAAAAATAAATATAATTTGGAACTGAGCTGTCATTTTGTAGGCATCTTCACCAAGGTGGAACTCCCACTTCCTTGGGCTGGTGGAGGTACAGAAGAACCATGAAGACCTTGTACATTACCTTGTCTCTGCCCTCCTGACTCCTCTGGAGCCCTGTGGGCCTCAGCAGACCAGCAAGGCATCTGTGATGGCAGTGCTGTG